CTAACACAGCTTTGAACCCAAACTTGCACGGGAATATCGTTCCGAGTTTGACCTACACTCCTCGGATGGTTAGCATATACGTACGTGCGTAAATCAAAGCACTCGTATACTCATGAGAACGAGGCAACAATATATATATACACAATCTCTCATCTACTTATGAGAACAAACATATCAATGCCAAGCCTAAGGCATTCAAATAAATCTCAAAATCCTCACCTTTTTATTTTTTATTATTTATACACTATTTCTCACCAACACTCACATAAAATAACAATCCATGGAGTCATGGTGGAGTGTAAGGAATTTAAGGAATTTATCTATGTGTTCTAAGTTTATTTTAATTTCATATAACCATGAGTGTGATTACAATCATAAAATAAATACATATAAAAATCCTAAACCTGACATATACGACTAATCAAAATAATTAAAATCAATCTATCATCTTCATGTAAATACAAAATCAAACTAACATCAAATAAATATAAATAAATAGATAAAACAACGAATTAAAAATAAATCAAGAGAAGTAGATTTTGTACTCACAATATTTTTTTGAAGATCAAAGAATCACTTAGAGAATTAATAGAGCTACCAAAATAAAACCATAACCCTTTCTTTTCTCACATTTCCTCTTTCTTCTTGTTGTCTCTCTTTTCTTTTATTTTTTTCTCTTTCTCTGTGGTTACTCCTCTCTCTCTCTCTCTCTCCCTCTCTCTCTCTGCTGCTGCTAAGTTGACAATTCTTTCACACATGATTACAACCTAAAAGAATATTATAAATCTAAGTCTAAATATATAATAACCTAATTTCCTATTATATTATATTATACAAATAAATCATAAATATAACATATATAAATATAAATATCTTATATAAAATTTATATCAATAATTCTTTTTATTTATTTATTTAAAATATATAAATATAAATATAAATATTCAAATTAATTATATATAATTAACTAATACATTAAATTAACTAAATATCACATTAAATTCTCATGTAACCACACTATTAATGAAGTCTCAAAATAAAATAAAGTAATAATAAATAAATGATGACTTACAAAAAATCAAGATCGCTACATGTGGTGTCTCCACCCTTAACAGGCGATTGGGTCTGAATCTGGACATCTGAGACATCTTGAGTTGTTATACCCTTTCACACAATAAAGATCATAGCACCTATTATCTCTGTGTCCGTTCAACTGACTGTCACCTTGTCACCGGCTTACCTAATTCTGACAAACACAATGATGATTTTTTGCAAGTTGGTGGTAACTGGGAGTTTCCTGCTGGGACCGAGTTCCAATCTAAATGGATGCCCCAAAAAAATAGTTACCCAGGTCTGAGTCCTGTGCCCTATTATTGTTGTACTTTTGTTTTATTTTGAATGTTATGCTAACGTTATTCCTCATCTCTGCAGAGGCTTTTCCTTTCCAACGCAGGCTGAACCGAGAGAATGCTGAGGCGATCAAGGCTGTTTTGAGGTACAAAAAAAGGTCTACCCTCGAACTGCTGGACTACCAGGCAACTTACCGTACCACAATCCAGAAAAAAGCAAGGCTTGCTGCATCTCTTATTGATTCCGATACTGTGACTGACACATCCCCTGTCCCTCTAGTCACAAACCGCCGTCGCGGCCAAAGCTTGCCGATTGAGAGGACACATTCTCCTGCCCCCAGTTTCATAGGGGTGGATTAATGTCGAAAAGGAGAGTGCTGGTGGATTTGAAAGTGGAGGCTTTTGGCTCTTATGACTGTAGACACCCCATTTTGACCGACCTTAAGACTCAGACGTCACTGATTGAGCGCTTGGTGATGTTGCATAATGTGCTCGTTCAGAAGTTTCAGAGTCGCGGCCGTGAGCCCTGCCTCCGGACTTCCGAAACCTCTTTTGTACCGTGCCTCGGTTTGCGAACCAGGCTCGATTTTCTCGGTTTCTTTTCCTGAGGGAAGGGAGAGGTCCCGTAGACCATCTCTCAATGTCCGTAGGCTACATTTGGTGGCCGTAGGCGTGGCCAAAGAGAAATTGCAGCAAAATTTCGTCATCGTGCTCGGATTCCATTAAAGTTTGGAAGTCTTTTGTATTTTTCTCTTGCTCTTATTTAGGTGGCGACTCTGTATCTGGCAAAGCAGTCCATGTTTGGCACTTCTTTTCAAAAATCTTTTTTTCTCAAAACGATTTGCCGGATTTGGACTCTTTGGTTCAGACTTAGAACCGTGACGACAAAATCGAGTCCGAGCTGTAGCGAGGTCCCCCGCGGGCTTGTTACAATGACGCTCTGGAGGCTTCTTTGGTCAAGGCCGAGCAAAAGAGCCTTATGGATGTAAAACTAGAGATAGGGGCTTCTGGCCTTTCTGTCGCTGCTACTGAACCCTCTACTTCAATCGCTGAAAGGGCGAAGAAAATGAAGAGGGAGACTGGCAAGACCATAGTTGGAGAAGCTTCTGAGGATCCTGTTGAGGATGAGTCGTTTGAGAAGTGGGAGTCGTCTATGTTGCATTAAGGCATGCCCATTTCTACCTCTGATTCGGTTGTTGCTTCTGGGGACTTTGCTTTTGACCTAACCAAGACTTCGTTGATGTCAGTAGACATTGCGGGTCACAACGGGCCCCGTGATATTCCAATCCTGAAGGGGACCCTTCAAATGATGGCTGCTGTAAGTGTTTCTGTACTCCTTTTGGTGTTCTTTACTGGTTTGTGCCATTTGTTTTCTTTTAATACCTTGTCATCTGCTATAGTGTATCCAGAGGATGCATCTGTTTATCATCCGAGTTGAAGAATTAGAGAGGAGCGTACTGGAGGCCGCCATGGATGCTGAAAGGCTGATGGCAAATTTGGAGGCCGAAAAGGAAGGCCAAAGGACTATTAAAAGGGAAGTGTTCCACTTGAACAAGGTTGTTGTCTTTGCTGAAAAATTAAAAGAGGCTACTGTTGGGGTTTAGGCCCAACTTGAGAGCAAGGTTGTTGAACTGGAGGCAGTTGTAACAGTGATGGCCGCTGAACGTTTGACTTTGAAGGCTAAGCACTAGCAGTAGGGCTGGGACAAAGCTGGAGCCGCTTATAAAGAAGAAGTGTTGGTGCTGCATGACAAGCTTTTTCTTAAAGGCTGGACGAGTGCTCTTGCTGCTGCTCAGATTCCTAAAGAATCCTCTTTGTTTTAGAATGTTCTTATTCCCTCAAAGTCCTCAGGTTTGAAGACCAATACCACCCTTGTTACTCCTTCAACAAAGATTCCCTCAAAGACTGATGCTGCAAGGGAGACTCCGGAGGGTGGTGCTATCAATGAAACTGTGGATGTTGAAAGAGATGAAATCTTGGAGACTGAAGTTGTGGGAGACGTGGTTAAGGAGCCTTCTACTTCTCAAGAAGTTAGAGCTACCTCTAATTTTCCTTCCTAAGATGATGTGAACCAAACTGTGAATGTTGTCCCTGAAGTTCCTTCTGCTGATGAGAGTTAGAGTGGTTTTCATCTGAAAAGACTTGAAGTTTATTATACACATTTTTTCCTTTTCTTTTCGTTTCCTTGATGTACTGGAGCTCGGTCTTCCTGATGAGTTGCCCCCTGATGCATGCTAAGACAATTTTTCTTTTTTTACTTCTTTTTTGTTGTGGCCAGTTGTGCCTATTGTTGGATGATGAAATTCACTTTTTAGACCTTGTAATCTGCTATTTAATCTTTGTGTTATCTGTGCTGTGTGCCCCCGGCCGAGCATTGTTAGGACTAAAGGGCCAAATAGATGCTCGGTTTGGTTTATTTGACATGCTATAGGGTTGTGATTGCCTTGTAATTGGAATAGAGTGTCTTACTTAGGTCCAGGTTGATTCCAAGAAAACAATTGTTTGCCCCCACCTAGAGCTAAGTAAGATTGGTACTGAAGATCTGTTCTTTGTGGCAGAACTGTTTAAGTCTGTTCCAACTCTTATGGTAGGGGTGCTAATTAAAAGATATAAGGAAATGAAGTCCTACTCAGGTCCAGGTTTGGTCTTTGAGAAACAATTGGTTGCCCCCACTTGGAGCTGAGTAAGGCTGATGCTGGAAGTTCAGTACTGAAAGAATGATCCAAGTCTGTTCCAACTCTGGGTGCATACAGTAGTACTGAAGTGTTAATGTTTGTACTTAGGAAATTCTATGAATTCAAAAAAAAAAATGATTATTTGAAAAATACGTTAGTGCGGTTTCTACCAAGCAATTCCATTTGGCTAAGGTCCATTTTAGTTGCCAAACATAATTCCACCAAGCAATTCCACTTGGCATGTTCAAGCGATAACTAAAACTAAATTTCGCTCAGTTGCTCTGAAACTAGGTCCGTTTGGGTAAAACCAAAGCCTAATCCGTTTGATAAACATCAAAGCTAATTCCATTGGGTAAACACTAAAGCTAAATCCGTTTGGTAAATACCAAAGCTAAATACGTTCGGTAAACACCAAAGCTAATTCCGAAAATCTCTTGTAATGAAGATATTCATATATTGAAGACAAAAAATTCAAAAAAGTGGGGAGACATTTGCATTAATCAAAAGATAAATGTCTTTACACTTCGACAGATAAGTTGGGGGACAATTTTACTGATAGTACTTCTTGAGGTTTGCTACAATCTAGGGCCGAGGTATGGCTCTGCCCCTGAGATCCTCTAGGTAGTACGCTCCATTCCCAGCAACGATTGTAACCTTGTAAGGACCCTTCCAGTTAGGTCCCAGTTTGCCTTTACCAGGCACCCTTTTGTGATCCATAACTTTCCTCAAAACTAATTTGCCTGGTGTGAATTGCCTTGGGAATACTTTTTGATTGAAACTCTTGATAAGCTGCTGCTGATAGGCTACAAGTTTGATCAGTGCTGCTTCTCTTCGGCCTTCTTCCATGTCCAGTCCCTGCGCAATGGCTTCTTCATTACTTACATCTTCAAACAATTTTGACCGAATGGTTGGGAGATCGACTTCGAGTGGAATAGCAGCCTCCATTCCGTAGGTCAAGGAGTAAGGTGTTTTCTCTTCAACCCATTTTCTTTTTTGCATTTTCAAGTCGCCTTTTCACCCCGTTATTGATGGTCTTGTTTGAGGACTCTGCCTGCTCATTGCTTTGTGGGTAACCTAGAGAGGAGTTCCGATATTTAATCCTGAGATTGGCACAGAACTTCCTGAAAATCTTTCTATCAAACTGCGTTCCATTGTTCACAATCAGTACCCGTGGGATGCCGAAACGAACCACGACAGTCCTCATCATAAACCACTTTGTGTCTGTTTCTTTGATGCTTGGCAGGGCTTCAACTTCCACCCACTTAGTGAAGTAATCGGTTACAATGATGAAGAAACGTCTGTTTCTAGTGCCTAGTGCCAAAGGTCCAACGATGTCCAAATCCCACTGAGCAAAAGGCCATGGGCTAGTAAGTGGTTAGATTTTTGGTTGGCTGATGAATTAGCGGAACAAACCTCTGACACTTATCACACTTCTGAACGTACTGTTGTGCATCTTGCTGCGTCCGTGGCCACCAGTACCTGTGAGTGAGGGCACGGTGTGCCAGTGACCTTCCACCAATGTGGCTTTCACAAATCCCATCTTGAATTTCATAGAGAACATTCTCGACTAGATTTGGATGCACACATAGCAAATAAGGGCCAAGGTAGAAGCGTCGGTACAATTTCCCAGATGGTGAAATCTAAAATCGAGCTGATCAGTGCCGAATTTTCTTGGCTTCTTTCTTATCTTCAGGGAGAGTGCCTAATCTTAGAAAAACAAGTATTGGATCCATCCAGCTCGGTCCCAGGTTAGTGCAGAGTACTGGATTTGGAGATGCAATGCTCGGTTCTGGCTCCCCTGATGAACCAAGACAAGCGAGGGCATCAGTATGACTGTTTTTGTCCCGATTGATCCGTTCCACTTGTATGGATTGGAATTTCTTAAGTAAGTCTCTTGTCTTGTTTTCATACATGGCCATTCTTTCATCTCTTACTTTGTAGAACCCAGTGAGTTGATTGACAACCAACTGAGAATCACTGAATACCAGTAGTTGATCTGCACTGAAGTGTTCGGTACTACGCAACCCAGCTAGTAGGGCTTCATATTTTGTCTCATTGTTAGAGGCTTTCCATCCAAGTTTTAGAGCTTGTTCCTAAATGAATCCTTCTGGAGATATGAGTAATACTCCTGCTCTCGAGCCTTGATTATTGGATGATTCGTCGACGCAGAGCTGTTAGATGTCACCAATGAAAAGTTTCCATGCTTCTGAAGTACACTGTTTGTTTAGTTCGGTGGTGCGTGGCACCTATACCGAGCTGGAGTTCTGATGTTCGATGCTCTGAGCGGGGGTGAATTCAACGACAAAATTTTCTAAAACCTGGGCCTTGATTGCTATTCTAGGCTGATACCGTATGTCAAACTCACCAAGCTTAACCGTCAATTTCACCGTTCGGCCCGAGAAATTAGCTCGGCCGATGACAGATCTGAGGGGGAATTTAGTGAGGACATTGATGGTATGACCCTGGAAGTAGTGTTATAGTTTCCTTGAGGCAATGAGCAGAGCATAAGCTAGCTTTTCCAACAGTAGATACCGTATTTCGGCGTTGATGAGAGTCTTGCTGATGTAGAACACTGGTCTCTGTTCCTTTTCAACTTCACGAACCAGTACTGCGCTTACCGCATGATCTGAGATTGCATATAGGTATAGTTCTTCCCCTAGTTCTAGAGTGGAAAGGAGAGGTGGTTTACTGAGATATTTCTTGAGGTCCTGTAGCACTTCAGTACATTTTGGACTCCATTTGAACGCAGACTTTTTCCTTAACAGTTGAAAGAAAGGCTTCATCTGATCTGATGACTTGCTGATGAATCGATTTAAGGCTGTTGCCATTTCGGCTAGTTTCTGTAGTTACTTGGCCTTTGTTGGTATCTTAATTCCTTGTATTGCTTTGATTTGATCCGGATTTGCCTCAATTTCTCAGTGAGTCACCATGTATCCTAAGAACTTCCATGTTTCTATACCGAAAGCATATTTCGAGGTATTGAGGCGAAGCTGATGGGTTTTCAGGATGTTGAAAACTTCTCTCAGATCCGTGAGGTGATTTGTAACAAGCTTGCTTTTTACTACCATATCATCTATGTAGGTTTTCATAGTCCGGCCGAGCTGCTTCTTGAACATTCGAGTTACCATACGCTGGTAGGTTGCTCCGACATTCTTAAGGCTGAACGACATTACTTTATAACAGTAGGTGCCTCTCGGAGTAATAAATGTTGTCTTCTCTTGATCTGGGCCGAACAGTGGTATCTGGTGATAGTCGCTGTAAGCGTCCAGAAAGCTTATACGCTTATGCCCTGCTGTTGAGTCTACTAGCTGGTCTATGTGAGGCAAAGGGAAGTTGTCTTTTGGACAGGTTCTATTGAGGCAAGTAAAGTCAACGTAGACTTTTCATTTTCCGTTCTTCTTTTTTATTGCAACTGTGTTGGACAGCCACTGTGGGTACTAAATTTCTCGAATTTCCCCTACCAGTAAGAGCTTGTCGACCTCCGCAATTACTGTTTCGTTGTGCTCAACTGAAGATCTTCAGCTTTTCTGCACAATAGGTTGAGCGGAAGGATTGACATTGAGTTTATGGCAAGCAAATTCTGGATTTAGCCCCGGAGTATCATATGCTGACCATATGAATACCTCAATATTTTTCCTCAGCAAATCCAGTAGCTGAAGTTTCTCATCAGCACCTAGCGAGGTACCGATAAGGAAGTATTTTTCCAGGTCATCTTCCTTCACTAAAACTTTTTCCAGATCCTCTACTATCTTCTCAGCTGGGGTTCCCCCGACATCCTCAGAATCGGCTATTCTGCTACTTCAACTGTTTGGACCCGATTATAGAGTTGTTTAGCCTTTATGGCTGCCATGAAACAATACTTTGATGCAACTTGGTCCTCTGAGATCTGCTCTACTGCATGTTTCGTCGGGAAGCAGATGAGCTGGTGGTAGGTTGAGGGGACTGCTTCCATTTGATGAATCCAAGGCTGACCAAGTATAGTATTGTAAGGAGATGGCATGTTAATAACTAGGAATTCTATCTGAAGCGTCTTTGTCCCAGCCACAACTGGCAACACTATCTTACCAAGTGGTTATTCAGGCTGCGAATTAAAGTTGACCAACGGAGCTGCCGCTGGGGTGAGGTGCTGCTCAAAGAGATCGAGCTTCCTGAACAAGTCGTAATACAATATATCTGATGCGCTACCTTGATCTACCAAAACTCGTTTCACGTCAAATCGTTTCCCAATTCCCACAGTTATAATCAATGCGTCAGCATGTGGGTGCTGAATGCTTTCCAAATCCTTCTTAGTAAATGAAACAGTATATAAGGGGGTCTTAGGTATTGTTTATACCTTTTTTGGTGCTGGTCCCATTGACATGACTTGCTGAATTTGTACAGCTTTTGCAATTTCCTCTTGAAGTGTCTTTTCACGCTCGTGACTAGTTGTGCCATGAATTACATTTATTACCAATCGAGGTGGATGTTTGATGTTCGGTTCTAGTATGGGGTTCCCCTATTCGGTCATTACTTTGTCCGAATCAATATAGTCTTGGAGGTGCCTAGCAGCTACCAAATCCTCCAGGTGTTGCTTCAATGCTCTGCAATTCTGAGTCATATGCCCCCTGTCTTGATGATAGGTGCATCTGAGCTTTTGGTTGCGCCGAGCTAGGTCTCCTAGCATCTTTGGTGGCCAAGTAAAGAACGTCTCTTTCTTGATTTTTTCCATAATACAACAGATAGATTCCTTAAAGACTGTAACAATTGCTTCATAGGATTTAGACTTATCTACTTCATTCACTGTGAGTCCTCGGGGTTCCTCTCGGTCTGCTCTTCTTTTGTTCCCTCGAGTTATTTGTTCAGTCGATGCCACCTCAATGGGAATCTGATCATCTTCAAGGTGAGCGTGCTGCTCAATCCAGGCACGTAAGTACTTCAGTGCTGTGGCTAGGCGTTTGGTAAGTGATTGTCTCAGTTTGCTCTCCGGACGCAGACTGTGTTTAAAAGACATTATAGCCATCTGTTCACTGCAAACATTTTCCTCCAAATCATTATACTCTTCCCAATACCTTCTAGCATAATTACGCAGCATTTCCTCTTGTTCCTTTCAGAGGCCGAACAAGGTATTTGGCTCTTTTGGGATTTTTGTGTTGGAAACGAATCTAGCCAGGAACTCTTCAGAGAGCTGCTTCTAATCGTAAATCAATCCGGCGGGGAGACGATCGAACCATTGGAGTCTGGATTCTCCCAGGCTGGATGGAAAGACTTTGCACATCAACGCCTCGTCTCGGCTTTACAAGGACATTATCTGTCTATAGTGGCTGATATGTGTTAGTGGGTCCTATTTTCAATCGTATGATGTGAATTTTGGTAGAGTGAACTTCTTGGAGGGTCTCATAGCTTCGATTTCCGAGGAGAAAGGAGAGAAGACGAGCTGATCCAATGCTTAGTGCTCTCTCTGATGGATAATACGGTCAAGGTGTTGAGCCTGATGATCTCGCCATGGCTTATTTTGTCTGTTGCCGACCAACCAAGTGTGGAGATCCTGAGGAGGATACTTTGTCTGCTGGCTGGCCGTTTTCTGTCTCTTAGCCCTTCTCTGGTGTGAACCATAGGTGTCGCTGCTTGTTGCTTCACTTTGCACCGGGATTGGCTGACTTTGCTACCCAGATTTATTTCTAGAGACCTTCTTCACTGGTGGTTCCCGGGATGGGCTCCTTTGGCACATACGAGAGGGCTCTGCGTCGGTCATCTTCTCTGTCGGGTCGCCCATCTTCCTTTTGAGCTGTGCTTTCAGTTCCTGTATCTCCATTCCTATGGAATCGATGATATGATCTCTATAATCTTTCTTTAACAGAAAATGGTGGAAAGAACCACCAGCAAAGGACAGTTGATGCTCAACAGATTCGGGAGTCCGGTTGTTGTTTCCGGTTTGCTCCTCTAGAACTGTCGGCAGCGCCAAGCCTTTATTCTTCGTTTTCTCTGTTTGTGGAGTCAATGCTAAGGGTGGAATATCCTCAATTCCCATCGCCGGAATTAAATGTAAAACTTAGAGATGAAGGGTCTACGCTTACCGCACCAATTGTGCGTACCGAATACCGTACTAGATAATTGTGGACCGGAGTTCTGCAACTGATTGGACTATCCAGGAACTGAGACCTTGCAACAATGAGCACCATTAGAGCTGTCAGGCTGGAGTTAGCTAGATAACCCCTTCGATGTGGGAGTAAATGATCGAAGAAGATGGAATATGCTCTCTAAGTGTAGAGAGTTATGTTTTAATAAGTATGGTTCAGCTTAACTTAGTTACCTTCAATGCGAAGTCCTTGTAGTTTATATAGAACTCCTTACTTGTTGCCCCAGATGGTTTCATGAAGCTTTGGTGCTGCCAGGCTTCTTTTCGCTTTGCTCAAGGTAGGGGACCATTTGGTAGTTGACATTAGGTACATATACTTGTTGTAACCATGCTGATAATAGACCACATTCCCTTGATCAACCATTTCTATGATTATAGGGGGAGGGGACCAGTTGAGGTGGCAGCCTGCACATGTATGCATTCACAGCTTTCACGTTTCTCTGAGA